GGGGGGGGGTTACTCATGTTTTGCACTCCCTACCGGGTATTTAGGCCATTGACCATGTGTCCTCGAGAAGAGGAGGGGGGAGGGGCGTACTCTTACGTTTTGCATGCCTTAGCGGCTAGACCATTGACCGCACGTCCTCGAGAGGATGCAGCAGTGTTCCCACCGGACCGATCACCGATGGCCAATCGTTCCTTCCGACGAGCGATGGGAGGGGTACCGGTACTTCACCTCGTGAATTTCTGGTGGAAAAGAGGAGGGGTCCGGGGTAGAAGAATACACGAGCTGTTGTTGAAAGGCGACGCCAATAAAGTTCGTCTCACCTGCCCGGCTCTGGTCGTACTGCTTGTCGACCGCAAGCTTCATCGCCTTCCTGAAGAAGCGGTCCGCGGTGCCCTTGCCCCCGCCCCCGACCGCAGTCAGCAAGCGCTCAGCGATGTCCCCCTCGCTCTTGAGCTGGACGCCGGTGCCCCGCGGGCGCTTCCTGTTGGGCGCCCCGCTGCCTCCGGTGGCCGCAGCCATGGCCGTCGCGACCGCATCGGGCTCCGCTCCTCCTCCTCCTCCTCCAGCCGAAGGCGATGATCCACTCGACGCTGCAGCAGCGCCTCCTACTCGTCGCGCAGCGGCTGCTGCAGCTGCTCCGTTGCTGCAGCTGCTGCTGCTGCTGCTGCCGCCAGCAGCCCGGCGGGAGGTAGCGGCCGAGGAGCCGAACAGCGTGCGCACCTGTCCGGGAGCGGCGGCCGGGGAGGGATCCGGCCTGCCGGAGTCCCCTCCTCCGCTGCCTCTCCTGCATGGGCTCGCTGCCGGCCGGGTGAGGGGCCCGCCGAGGGTGTGCACGCCTCCCGCCCTACCTCCTCCTCCGCTTGTACCGCTCGAGGCCGAGGCCGAGGCCGCCCCTCTCGCCGTCGCGCCGCCACCGCCGCCGCCGCTGCTGCCGCTGTTCCGGCCGCCAGATGAAGCAGCAGTTCTCTCGCCCGCATTCTTCGACTTGCCGTTGGACTTTTTCTTGCCTGCGAGCCCTTTCGAAGGGTCGGAGCTACTGCGGCCGGCGTCACCCGTAGCGGTCGTGGCGTCGCCTGCCCCGGCGGCAGCGGCGGCGGTGGTTCTAGACGCGCGGGAAGAGCTACGTGTAGACGATGATGAGGTGGCGGTGGTGGTGGCTGCGGTGGTAGTATTAGCCGTTTTCGCCCGTTTAGAACGGCCCCACTTTCCTCCCTGCTGAATGCCGGCCGTCTGCGTGGCGAGACGTACCGTGACGCTCTCGTTGTCAGACAGCTTGCTGCCGATCTCCGCGTCTCCGGGCATGTCCAGCGGCCTGCTCGTCGTCGCAAAACGTGGTCGAAAGAAGAAGGTTGCGCGGGGTGATCACGCGTGAGTGTCAAGGGCGGCAACAACAAAAAAAATCCAGCGAGAAATCAGTGGGTGAGTTTGCGAGGAGACGGTGCTGGTGACACTTGCCAGGTTCGACAACGGATCCAATTCTTCAAGTACAACGCTACAATAATAACGCTACACATTGTGGTGCAGAAGGTGTGGGCTTGCCGAACTCTTCCCAAGTTTGTACTTCGTGAAACGCAAATACCGTAAGTGGTGCTACAGGTAATAAGATTCGACTATGTTTACACCGTCGCCCAGTCAAAAAAGTATCGCCAATATAATCGAGTCGATCTTTGACTCGTCGCTAAGATGGCCTGCTTGCACGTGCTGCCATACGAACCGAATGTTCCGCATCAGAGAGATCACTAACTTACTGGAACTGCTCCTTTAGCTGTACTTAATCCAAGCATGCTACACGGTCCGGTGCTCTAGAAGTAGGCCACACGCTACAGTAGTAGTTGTACTTGCTCTACAGGCGTGCGAGTTAGGCTATCCTATACAGCAGTATAGATGAACAGCAGTCCCGCCGCAGAATAGCCGCAAGTAGACTAGCAAAGTGCTGTGAGGGGGTATCAGAGCATCATACGAGCAACTTGTTGAAGACATGTCGGCAGGAGGGCAAGCGCGTAGTGACACCATCCATCATGGTTCAACCAGCCGGTGGTCGGGCCGGCATACATACCTGGGTGGGAAGCCAGTGAGTATCGACAAGTCTTGCTCGCGCTCCCTGCCGAGAGCCTTGAGTATCATGGATTGAAAATCGGCAAATCTTGTCTGAGGAGTACATCCTTTTAGATCAACAGGGGCGGGACACACCGTGGGGCATCTGACCCTGATTCGGAGAGCCGGAGACGCCATCACGAGAGAGAAAAGGTGGGTGTGAGCAGCGAGGACATCAGATAACCTCACTGTCACGAGTAACCTTGTTTCCAGCGAGGGAACAAGGTTTTTGAGGCTCCGTGTATCATGCCAAATACACCTACATGTAGCATATTGATGCACGACCCCCCATGGCTTGCAGGTCTGTGTCTGGTGTGTGCAATACAACGCCCACAAGCAGCAGCCCGCACACACAGCATTATGGCGAAAAGTAAGAGCAAGGAGAGTCATAGAGGGAGGGAAAGGGAAAAGTCATCAAAAAAGAGGCGGAGGGAAAAGGAGGAGAGCAGTCCTTCTGCGGAAAGACAGAAAAAGAAAAAAAGTAAGGACAGCAAGCACAGCAGCAGCCGGAGCCGAAATGACCGCCGGAGCGAGAGGGGGGGCGACAGGAAGAAGAAAAGCAGCAGCAGCAGCCACAGCAGCAGCAGCAAGAGTAAGGGAAAGAAAAAGATGAAAGAGCGGAAGGGAGATGCAACAGAGGAAGGCAGTGGAAAGCAAAGCATCCAAGGTGGGCAACGTAGCTAATCAAGCGGAGGTCTGACGAAATTTTGGGGTATCTTTTTGGATGTGAAAGGTCGCTCGTCTATACACAGTCGCCCCGGTGGTCTAGTGGGTAGCCTCGCAGCCTGCTAAGGGCCAGGTCATGGGTTCGAGTCCCGGCAGAGAGAGTTTTTTTCTCACTAAATAAATCCTGGTCTAGGATGAAAGCGACGCGCTGCAAAGCTCGTTTGTTAGTAAACCATAATCGACTTCGTAAGTCGCGAGGGAAGGGATTGCTGTACCCTTCTCGCGATAAAAATACCTCAGGCATGAACCGCAGGAGGGGTGTCCAACCCCCCCCTCCTATGTGACCCCGGTTGGGTCGTCTAGCCAGTAGAAGTGGAGGATAGGGGCCAGAGGGGCAGACGGCAGAGTCCAATGATGGGAGAGAAACAAACAACAAAAAAACAAACCGGTGTTTCTGTCGTCGCGAGGATGGCCAACTCACAAGCGTCCGGCGTGCAAAACCATGGTTCTTATATCTTACGCAAATCCACAGAATGCAGAATTTACTTTCAAATATCTTTTCGGATGTGAATAGGTCGCTCTTCTATACCGGTGTATCTGTCGTCGCGAGGATGGCCAACTCACAAGCGTCCGTCGTGCAAAAGCATGGTTCTTTTATCTTACGAAAATCCACAGAAAGCAGAATTTACTTTCATTCTTTTCTTAGTGTGTCTCTTTGTGTGTGTTTACGTCCTATGATCATGGCGACAGTCCCCCCTTTTTTCGTGGTGAGACGTGTACTACACTTTTCAGCGTATGTAGAGTTCTACACTTTTCAGTGTATTTTTCGTGCCACTATAACCATCCAGGGCCACACAGGAGGGGGTAAACAACTCATGTCCCACCTTCCTCCTGCGGTGCGTGCTGAATTTTTTTTTATCGCGAGAGCCGTCCCTTTCCCTCGTCAACGGCGCTAACGTCGACGTTTGGTACTCACGAGAGCTTGTCAGCTATATTCCGCTTTCACCTGCACATTTCTCAAATTTTTCACCCCATGGGGATTCGATGACGCGATCTCTGCGACTAACGGACTACGAGGATACCACTAGACCACCGGGGCGACCGGTGGAGTTAGTATGTCACGGCGAATCCGTCTCCATCTAATAAAAGAGTCCAACACAGAAATGAATCCAAAGCGTCAGTGAAGGCTACGACTGTAGTCGACCCCGCTTTAAGGATGCACATGGTTATTCCTGAAAAATGCGTCCTTAAAGCGGGGTTGCGTCCTTAAAATTCAGGGGACGATAGCTCACCATCCCCGGGGCCAATGGAGGCATGCTATACCTCAAACTACGCGTCTTTTGCTAAGGAAGGGGGTGGTGCGAAAAGTCAGCATCGCCGAGGCGACTGGCAACCGTTTGTTGACGTCGAACATATTTACAATACTTGAAATGAGATGTACAACTACAGTACACCAGTTTGTACTTGGCCAACTAATGTACTGCATAGCCGGCAGCGGAAGAACGAGGAAAGTCCAAGTAGACATATATTAACCTCATTTTTGTGAAAAAAAAAAAAACGAGCGTATTTCAGCGTCGCACCGAGGAACACCAGTACATATCACTGTCCCGGCGGAGACCAAAAGCTACCCTGATGGCTTTTCCTTCCACATGTCGCTAAGAGTTCCCTGAACCTCCCCCCGCGGCTTGGCTCTACGGCTCTGTTGAGTTTCATGAGTAACCGAATGAACGGTCTTCGAAAGGAGGTACTGCGTCTCACGGTACTCGCCACCCCTTCCCTTCGCGTACAAATACAGATAGTGCCCGCACTTCAGAAAAATTCTGTAAGAAAAACGGCTCAACTTTGTACGAAAAATAAGCAGAAAGTGTCAAGAAACATAGCTCAATCTCGACCACAACGAAAGAAAAGAAACGCCCCAATATGAAACGTGATGGTGCGAAACCCCCATGACATCAGAAATCTGCGGTGCTCCCAACCCCCTCCCAAGCTGAACAGAAGTGCATTTTTTTGTAGTGGGCAGAGTCCCCNACACATCGCGGACAACCATATGCTCTCCGCTGTTGTACGGGTTTGATGGCACTCTCCACCACCTCTCTTGAGGGCTTGATGATGTGGATTGTCCCCAGAGATTACAAGGCAGAAAAAAGAAAATACGAAGTACTTGTTGTAGTCTAAGGATTAAGATAATCGGGAGGATGCGACAGTCCAAAGAATGAAGAAATGTCATTGACGAAATGGACGACTTGGGCCGGTACTTCGACCCAAAAAAGGGATTGAGGCTCGATCCGATTTTGACGTTTCTTAACTGCGGGCGCTATCTGTAGGATCAAATGTCATCCAAGCGAGAGTTAACCTCGCCCTCGGTGAGGGACGAGGTTGTGCACGACTCTTTTTTTGGCGGCATCAGATGGACCGCCGGTAGATGGGAGGAATCTATCAATACCAACACCCAGTTGCAGCTGCAGCAGCAGACCCCTCGCTACTTCTGCTGTCTGTGCATCGCTACTTCTGCACTCACTGCGGTGCGTGGTTCGTGCAAAGAGCGACCCGCAGGCCCGCAGAACACAAAAAGGGGGGGGGGGAACGCGGCAGGAAGAAGGGGGTACCCATTATCGTAAATTCTGCCGGGCCCCCGGTGCTCAGCAAACAACTTTCCTTACAGCGGGGAGTTTCCTTGACGCGAGCGTCCTTAAAGCGGGGTCGACTGTACATGTGTTTCCATGATTTCCCGAGCACCATACAGCGACATCTCCCCCGTGGTTAACAGGGTCAACAAGACAGTTTGGTAGCCGTTTTGTGCATCTATCTGCATGTTATGCTGGGAATGTACGGAAGAAAAGTGTTGGGTAGTATGGTTTGTCGGGTGTGTTGTCGGCGGCACCCTGATGGAACTGTTCCAAGTTTGAGGTGTGTGTGTATGGTATAATTACTCTTGTACGGCGTAGAGGGGCACGGGAGAACATTTTTACTCCTTCCGTGTTATGCTGACGTGGTTATGTATTGATTGGTGCAGCCAGCGTGTCATATGTGGATGGGTATGGCGTGGGTCGGATGTATGTGGGGTGTATCGACGTACTATGTAGTTTATCCGTATCATGGGTCGGTGGTGGGTTGGTCTTGTGGTGTATGTATTCAACTGGTACTTCCTGTTTCTCGTGGTGTCCTCAGCAGTGGTCTTGCAGACGTACCTTCGCGGGCGTTGTAGGAAGGTGTCAGCAGGTGAACGGCAGCAGGAGACGGGACATGGTTGCATGTGTGGCGCGAACAACTTCTGCCGGAGTCCATCATCAACCATAGGGAGACACAAGTACAGTAGTTTGTACACACCTGCGGTCGGAATTGTTGCAGCCCGGGGTCAGCGACAAGCAGCAGAGAGGAGCACACAGTGCGTTTCTACAGCTGTATAGTCCGTCCTCCTCCAGACCTGACGGAGATGGTTACTTTAGCACTATGGCTGGATCCGAAATGCCGGCTAGCTCTGATAACCAAGAGAGTTGGAGAGGTGGGGGGAGTAGCTAAAACGAATGACTGCGTGTGTGCCCCCCGGCAGCTGTTTTCAGCTGGTTCTTTGAAGGGTAGATTGCTGATTCGGTGACATAGCGGTATATCCAAATTGCCGATGGTTTTCACCTGGGTACATAGGAATTGTAAGGGAAAAGTATCCATAAATTGTGGCATCATCATCCTATTTGCAAGAGACAAGTTTCATTTTCAGTGTTCCCCCTTGCGGTTTTGACGGTAAAATATGCGGTTCCCCACATATTTTACCATCGCTACAGTGCTGTACTGTGTCCGAATTTTCGAAACATACCGCAGTGGATTAGAGGGTATAAGGCACGGCTCTCTCTCTTTCTCTCTCTCTCTCTCTCTCTCACCGTCGTACCGTCATCCCCGCAACTGGAGGAAGTTGAACAAACAAGATGTCATTTGGCGCAGCCATTGCCACTTTTCGTCTTAAGCAACACCGTATATGGGAGATCTCGCAGGCCTCCGCCGCCGCCACCACCGGAGTTATGTAGGCGGTATGGTCTTTCCTTGCTGCGAGGGTACGTAGAAACCTCCATCGCCACCGCCGCTAGCCGGTCGCGGAGGGAACGGAGAGGCCCAGGCAGCCCCGGTGCGGCTCGCCGACACGCGCGGGTCCGCTCAAGTAGGAACTCTTGCATGTTCGCCGCCGGTGAGCGAATCGCCGGCTGCAGGGTAGCCTCCCCCGCGGAGGCTCGGTCCGGCGGGTGGTGGAACGGCGGGCTGCCGCCACCGCCGCTCGTGCCGCAGCTCATGCCGGCACGCCCCACCCGCTACGGTTGAGGCCCGTACTTAAGAACCTCCTATTTTGAGCGAGGCTCAGTTATTATTGGCTGCCCCAACCAGAGCACGTGTTCTTATTGGCCATGTTCTTATTTCGCCGTCCCATTTTTCTCCAGCGAAATGTTCCTGTTGTTATTTCAACACCAATTGGCCCTGTTGGCGTACGTTGTATGACGACGTAGTTTGTTGGCGGCTGTCAACTGCACTCGGCGGAGTGTTTATAGTGTTTAGCATGAGGGACAATGCTGTTGCTTGGTACAAGAACACACCAAGGCATGCAGCAGCAACTGTCAACCATCTTGGTCCACAAGGGTGACGTTGGTCCTGCGTACCCTCTCCGATCTACTAACGCTCTCGAGCAAAACCCAGGAGCCCACCGCCGCATCCAGATCTCCGGTGTACTTGTCTAAGGACAGCTTCATCTTGCGCATACTCTGGTCTAGCTCCAGCTGCACACAAAGTTGTACAGGTGGCGAGTGTCCTGCTGAGATTGCTGAATGATCAACCCTCCAAACCACCCCATCCCCAGCCTAACGAGCACTCCACGTCGCAAAAGCAATCTGTCAAGAGCAACGGGTTTGACTTCTTGAATGCGAAAGCCTGTCGGGATCTCCATTCCTTGTGTCTCGTCCTCCGGGTCTTGTGGGTCCATGCTGTCGTCGTCGTCGAGAAGAGCTAGCTCATCGGTCTGAGTTTGAGACGTGCCTGCGAACGGGGCACCGTGAAATACCACAAGAAGTACGGTGTCACGGCCGAAACTCAACATGAATCCATCATATTTGCTCGTAGCCGTGAACGCGGAAACAGCACATCAGCAAAATCCAAGCAAATATCAACATGGACATCGTCATCAACAAGGAAATGACAAAGATTGGGTCTAGTGCAAATCAAACTGACCGCCGTCGTCTTCATCATCGCTGGAATCAGCGCCCTCAACGACCGCCTCACGTTCATCGCCCTCCTTCCCCCGCCCCTCGGGCTCATCGCTGCCGTTCTCCGAACTTCCTTCGTCCTCGCTACAGTCTTCATCGTTTGCGAAGGTGTACGGCTTGTCCAAACCCTCCAAGGTGATCCGATCATCGCCTGAGCCGTCCACAGTCATGGCCATCCCGCACTTTTCGAAAAGGCGGAATCGGAACGCCTGTTGGCTGTTGAGTCTTGCCATGGCCGCTCCAATCCACTGAATGATCAGTACCCGCCGATCAGAAGCTGTCAGCGCCGCGGTTTCCCACCTCTCGAGGTTGTCCGACTGCTCGAGCCACATGTCCATCTGCCTCCCACCTTCTACCTTGATAAATCGTCCGGCTCCTGCATCAACTGGCTGAACCTCGTCCGTGCACTCCGAAGGGCCATACCAGGCGAAGTGTTGCACTCCTTCGCAAGATACTCCTTGAACTCGTCAGTCGTCTGCGCGTGCAAGTTATCCATGACAAGAATAGACCTCGCCTTGGAAAGCTCACCCCGCCCGCGCATCAGGCCTCCGCTGTAGGACCTCTTAGCCCACTCCATATTGAACTTTTGGTCGACCCAAGCATTCTCCTGGAAAAACACGTCGACGTCCTTGTGGTACGCGGCGGCCTTCTCCACCGGCGAGATCCGCTTCCCCGTGCCTCGGAAGATCACCGAAATTCGCAAGGTCTTCTCACCCGGACCAAAGATGACTTGCATGGTGCACTGCCTTTTCTCTAGGCCAGGAAAGGGCTGTGAGATGGCGACACGCTTCGCACCTCGCTCCTCCCACGTATCGAGCAGCCCATTTACGAGTGCCAAAGGCACTTGATCCACATTCCAACGCTCCCGGAGCTGGAATTGGCCATACTTGGGAACTATGGACTCCCTCTCTGCGACCGTCGTAATCGCCGATACGTCCGACTCGTCGGGCGCCCTGTACCGTACCGGTTCTTGCAGGAGCTTGCGAAACAGTCGGTGGAAGCGCTGGATCTTTGGTAGGCGCTCCTCAACAGACTTGTTCTTGAGGTTGGTCCGACGTCTTTTGGACAGGTTGTGCCTCTTGGCCCATTTTCGTGCCCACCTGAAGGATGCGCGGAACGCCGCCGCCCGTTGATCCCCGGGATACATCTCTCGCACGAGCTTCCGGAACGTGATCGTCAGCCACAGGGTCGATACCTTCAGCTTCCTCTTACGCCGCTCCACGAGCATCTTGTAAAGCCTCTTTTCTGCCTCAGGAAACCACCGCTTAGGCTGCTGCTTGGCGAGGAGGCTCGTCTTCACGTCGTCTGCTGCCGCCGCGACTATGGCCTTCTCGTCGTTGGCCCACTTCACGATGTTGCTGTAGTGAACCATGAGACGATCCTCTTAAGTACTGAAGAGGCGTGCGCTCCTCCTCCTTCCAGAGGTCCGCGGCGTTGTCCTCGAGGATGCGCAGCTGGTCGACAGCATTGGCTTTGAACCTATAGTCGTATCGCCTGCGCTTGGGAGCTCCACGAGTTTCCTTGGTTTCGCGGTCCATAAAGCCGTCGCTTTCCAAGTCTAGATCGAGAAAGCGCTTCCGCTGGAGGACAAACGAAGCCGCCCCCGTCGCATCATCGAACTTCACATGCCAACAACGCCCAGGCCCGGCTTCTTCCCACGGCAGAACACGCCCTTCGAGATTCTTCCGTAGCATCCGCCGCAGCCGTACGCCGTTGGGCATGTGTGCACTGCTGTGCTGCGCTCTCACGTGGATCCCAAGGCCTTGCTCGTTCACGAAGGTCATGGGACAGTGAGGGCAAGATCGGCGGGACTCCGGGGCCGGAGGCGGGAAGCTGATACCAAATACGAGCTCTTTCACTCCACCACGAGTCCTCTGAATCTGCTTGGTGCGATGGGAAAGGGCGAAATTGCCGTGTAGGGGATTCAACGAGCCATGTGACGTGTCAGTCGCTCTTAGTTGTGGCGCTGTTGCATTTAAACTTCCGTGGATGCCGCTGGCAAAAGTATCTATGCACTCTGAACGAATACTTCCTTGAAAAGATTATCGTGAATCACACGAGAGAGTGGGGAGATGACGTCTGTTTCGTTTGGGTCACATTAGACTCATGAACTTTTTTTTCCATTTTTCTCTTGCTTAGACTATCGGGAATAAAAAAAAAAAAAAAGTGTCGCAAAACAAAGCAACGTCGGATACAAATGTAACGGAACTCACCGGTTGTCCGCTGCCAATCGAGAACGCGTTGCAGATGTTGTCGCCTAAAGTGCCTTTCGCAGCTCTCTCCCTGGCGGGCTTCCCTCGATCCACCTTCCTCCTCGCGGTACCCGCTGCAGCAGCAGGTGGGTGCTGAGAAGGTGCAGCAGCAGCACCTCGTGCGCTGCTGGCATCTTGTTGGGATGACAAGGACAGGCGGGTGCTGCTGGTAAGGCCCTGGATTTCACCATCAATCTGCGCGATCCACTCTCCTTCGTCGAAGATACCGTTCTGCTCCAACCCCCACGGCGCTCTCGATGCCGTCCCACCGCTCCTTCGCAACAGAGTTCCCGCCTTCACATGTGTTTTTATCGTCTTGAAGTGACGGTCAAGAATCAGACCCCGTCCTTTCAACTCTGCAAGTTTGCCAAGATCTTTCAACAACCCATGGGATAAGAGGTTAGACAGGGACATGATCCCCCTGTACGGCAGGCAACTCGAAGCCCGCTGCACGTGCGTAGCCTGGCAGCCGCCAAGGGGGCGCGACGTGTACAGTGCCCACCCTCTCCTCTGCAAAAATTGCAGATTCCGAGGTGTATGTATGCACCCACCTTCGGCACACCTACCCCCCTGCCAAATCCAATACTTGGATCACCCCCCCGCCCGTCCCCCTCCCCCCGTTCGAATGTTCTTATCTCGCAGCTGCTGAATGTGCTCTTGTTCTTATCTTTAGCAGCAGTGGTACACCTCAGGCGTGCGTTCTTATTCTTAACTGCAGGTGCAATCTGAGCACGAGTTCTTACCGGCAAATTCTTATTTGTTTATTTTTAGCACCATATTCGTAAGTGCCATATTCTTATGTGCGGGCCTCAACTGTAATGGAACACGGCGAGCCTTGCTGGAGCAGGAGAGATTGAGATATATACATGTTCATGTGCTTCGGGAACACGGTCACCATTTGCTGCTTGTAACGGTGCAATGTGTCGTTATATCGACAGCAGTGGACCCCGAGTACTCACACCTGAAAATAACCCCCCGACCTTGAACTCAAGGGAGCTTCGAGGGACTGCAGAGTAGCTGTTCAACCCAGGCGCAATGGATGATGGACTCGGTACAAATCAGCAGCAGAGAACCGTGCGGGCGTAGGGCAGCGGGAATGCCGATTGACTTTTGGCCAGGTTGACAGCTTGCCGCGGCCCAATACCGCAGCGCCGGTGAAACCGCTCTGCAAAGAGGGATAATCTATTTAGTTTTTTTGTCTGTGTTGAGCGCTGGGGGGGGCACATGCCGGCACAACAGCGGGCCCACGACGCACACACCATGTAACTGCTGTGCTCCCCCAGTATGAAAAGCGCGCCGCGCGTCGTTCGGCCCCCACCACAACAGGTGGCATCACGATCCCTGATAGATAGTGTGCACGTGAACACCCAACCCTGCCTGCCCCTCATGCAAAAACCAACTTATTGAAGTAGGAATATTGTAACGTTGCCTGGAACTCAATTCTGGAATCTCCCTGTCCGCCGGCCGTGAGATTACGTTCCTGCTGCCAAGAGCACCTGCCGAACAAATCTGTTCTACCGCATACTGTAGAACGCCGGACTCCGCGTTTCCAACAGGATGAACGCACGTGTGCGATCTTCTTCGTCCGGCAACTCTCCCTCCCTCCCTCCTTCCCTCCCTCCCTCCCTCCCTCCCTCGCTCCTGGCCTCCTGTTTGCGCCCTCGGTGACCATCGAAACTCGTTGGATCCATTCGCTGCGTTGTGATCGCAGCCGAAATCCAGATCAGCGAGAAGGACTACTTCATCCGCGCGATGGAGTTCAAGGTGTGGCTCTGCCACAAGAAGGAGACGCTCTTCGAGGACCTCACCTCAGACGAGTCGCACGAGCTCTTCGACAAGTTCGTCAAGGACTGGAACAGGTATAGCTACATGGCTCACGTACGTTTCGGGCCGCCCGGCTCAAGTCTATTAGCAAGAGCTCGTGGCACAAAGGGGGCCTCCTGAAGGGGGTGCGGTTTTGATTGACGTGCTGCTCGTGCGGCTGCTGTGCCGAAGTTGTTTGGTTGGAGGAGACACAGGATTTTCTTTTTCACGATAAGAACCCTTATTGTAGCTTTAATAGATTCTCTAAACTGCTGCTCTCTGGTGTTGCGTGTGATCCCCCACTGGCGCTGTGTCAAAGACCATTGCTTATAGTGCCACCACTGCTACGGTACTTGAAAAAGCTAGTCTCCGAACGCTTCACACTCCGAGCGTACCACCCATTCGATTCCTCGTGCCATCGCCGTTAGTGGTTCTTCCCTGCATGCACCGTCGTTGGTGCTACTATTACTGATACTGATGCCGCAAGGGCTGTTGAAACTCTCGAGATGACGATGATGACCCGGCCTGAAATATCGCCGTGTGCCCTCGCCGCCCGGCTGCCCCCTATATGCCCGTCTGCACACGAACAACTCACACTTTTTTTTTCCCTCCCTTCGTTTTTTTTCGGCGTGTCCACAAAAGGGGAAAGCTCGACCCCCACTTCTACGAGGGTCGCCTCCCCGACGAGCTGATTGCCCGGACAAAGAAAACGCAGCACAGATGGGGGTGAGCGCTTTCTTCTTTCTAACAGAACCGTCCTCGTGAGGACGCAACAAGAATCGATGCACGCATATTTTTTTTGCACAAAGGGATTGGTTGGTTGTGTGCGAATCTTCATCTTCTGTGCTCTCTACACCACCACCTTCAAAAATTCACCGACGATCTCTTAGTGGACCAGCACGGTTGCCCGAGGCAAGCTTCGTTGCCAAATGAGCGGCGCAGCGCTATCGGTGTATTCTACAACCAGCGGCGTTTTGCTTGTGCGTTACCCTCGGCACGAAGAAGGAAGAACGAGGCCTTCTTCTGAGCGAGGCAGTACGAGAGCCGCGTCCTGCTGCAGAACCCTCAGGCAGCGCGAAAGGGGCACGGGGGGGAGGCTTACCTCTTTGTCGCGTGAAGCAACGCCGCTAGGCTTTTAGATCGACAAACGTGTTTTGTGTGAAATGCCGAGCGGTCTTTCGAGCGGTCCACCAAACTCTGACCCTCCCACCCCTCCCCGCCCACCACGTGTTCCGGGTGGCTGTATTGTCCGGGCTGCTGGGCCCCGTCCGCGGACAGGTTTGTGAACAGGTTGAGCGACCGGGATCAAATGCAGCTGGAGCTGGCCAATGACTCAGTCCACTCCAGCACGGAGAAGGTGAGGGAGGGAATGACGACTTACGTTGATGGGAAGTGAAGGGAATACGTTTTTTTTTTTTTTCCTTCCAGGTCTGTGAGAGCGTTATATCTTCGAAAAGGGAATAACGGATTCACACGCAACACAAGGGTGTTTCGCACGCGGTGCTTCCGCGTGTTTCAATCTTAACCTTCCCCGCCTCAATTTGCAAATGTGTGGCACCCCCTGTACCAAACCGCTGCGTCAAGTTACACACAGGAGCAACCACGCTTCGATAAATTCCAACAAACCAATCGCAGGTCAAAGGGGCCACCAGCAACGTCCCGGTCCTACCGATTGGGTCGGCCGCAACAGCTCCAGGGCTGGTGGTGAAGAAGCAGGCCGACGGCCGTGGCGGGGACGGGGAAGGTAGAGGCGGCGGCGGCGGGAACGGGAGCGGGCGCAGGACGGAGGCGAAGCGGGAGCGGCGGCAAGAGCGGGAGAAGCACGCGGTCGTCCTCGACGAGATCGCTCCGAAGGAGACGGGCCGACAGGCGGTGTTGGTGAGACTATTGAGCGTGCTGGCGCGTGTGGTGGTGACGATGTTGACATCCCCCCCCCGGAGCCTGCTGGAGGAAGCACACACGTGACAGCTCATGGTGGTGTACAACGCACGGCCGCCGCACGTTGACGATGTCAGGCGCTAGCAAGAGAGACGGCAGCAAAGATTATTCGGACGATTCGATTCTGCAGACATCGCCGCCTGTGGGGAAAGTACACGCATGACAACCCCCCCCGCGGCGGTGTTGGTGTTGCTCTATGATCTCGCCGTCGTGACTCACCCGCCTTTGCTGTCGTTCTACTCGCCTTTAGGACAAGCGCCGCGTGGTCGGTGCAAGAACACACGCTGCGGCGAAGGAGAGGGAAGACGCCGCGGACGGCTTGGACATGAAGGAGTCGGACACCATGGGCGGGTCGGACAGCTTCCGCGAGACCCTCGCGCGAGCCCAGCACGGGAAGCAGCGGCGACAGATGGCAAAGACGGTGCGCGCGAGCGGCGTGTTTGTGTTGGAATCTCTTTTCGTGTCTTCGTTTTGTTTTCCACGACACGTTGTGTTGATCTTTGCCGACATCATCGAGCTCGAACGCCGCGCACGCGCGCGCAACTACGGTTTGTTCGAAGCGAGCGCCGTGTTCGATTTTCTCAGGTGCACGAAAAAGCAGCAGGGCACGGATGCAACCCTGTTGTTTGCCGTGCTACAAAGCTTAAGCTTCGCGGAGACCTCCATTATGCTGTGCATGTTCCCTAGCTAACTCCCACGCCAGCTCTATCTATCTTCGTTGTCTGCCTCCATCCCTCCCCGCCGTCTCTTTTCGCGGTGACGCCGGTACCAGGAGCACCTGCAGGGACTAGCCGCGAAGGAAGAGGAGAAACGCGCGGCTTTCATGGCGCAGATGGGCCTCAAAGCGGGCCAGAAAATTACGATTCAGCCGCGCAGGGACGGGTGACGAGGAAGAGAGGACGGGGCCTGTTGGTAGTGTAGTCTTCGTAGAAATATTCTAAGTACCATGCTGTAGAAGAGGGTTTCTCGTTCAATGCTCAGATCGAAATCTGAGCTTGCCAGAGAAAAAAAATACTGCAAGGATGCCATGTGTCGTGGCGATCTTGTTGCGGGTGCGATCGCGTATGTGCCGTAGGCGGTTTTGTTCGTTCCCGTCGGTGAAACTGCGCGGAAAAGCAATCGTGATTTTCATTGTCGTTTGTTTTCGATCCTTCCTGCTCGAATGCAATCGCTCGCCGCTTTTCTACGTACGTATGTACTCCCCACGGCGATGTTGCCCTTCTCACGTTGTAGAGTCCTCCGAGTTTTTTTTTTTTTTGTCTACACTTCAAATCAGCGCTCACAGCACAAGTGGTGCCGTTTACTCCAACTCGTGGTCACACAGAAGGGTCCCTCTCTGCCCTCCCCTCCTGCGGTACATTGCCTTGGGTTTTGATGCGAGAAGAGTTCAGCACTCTCTTCCCTGTGTACTCACAAACCAGCGCTATCCACCAGGTCAGGAGCGGAAGCGAGAGAAAAACTCACTTTGCAGGAAATGCTCGCTTACGCCGGGATTCGAACCCCTGACCTGACCTCTACAAGGTTTCGAAGACACCAACTAGACCACCGGGGCGACCGGCTTCTTCGGAGCCATTGAACAAGGGAGACCAACTTGGTTATCGATCCCTGCTCTGACGAGTTTTTGGCTGCATGCGGTAGTTCTCCTACGTGCTCGGTGGTCTCATGTCTATTGCTCATGCCGACATCGGTTTCAGTCCTTGCAGACCCACGACAACGTAGACACAGCAGTGACAACTGGTGTCACCACGCTCCCCTGCAAGCTCCTTTTTCCTTCAAAACAAAACGCGTGTCTCACTAGAGAAGCACAGCCCACGCCCGACGAAGAGGGTGGTGCGTTGCCACTCTAGGTTTACCGACCCGCGTGACCAACGCCCGCACGAAAGAACCTTCTGTCGTTGACCCACGACAGCAGTTGTGGAAGGAGAAGCTGAGCGATGGTCAGGTGTCACGTTTTACTCCGGCTCGCGCCACTGATGTCCAAAAGTTTAAGGTTTTGAGCAAGCGGCATCCGAAGAGCCGGATTGGTCGCCGGTTTTCCGGCCTTGTATCACATACATACAAGCCTTCAAGAAGAGATCTAGTCGGAGCCGCCGGCTCGTACGCGGGCCAACTTCCTCGAAAAAAATCTCGTGCGCTCAAAGCATGTGATCACCCCCGTACTTCTACTGCTGTAGTCCGCGCGTACGTAACTTCAGTATTGTCCGAAGCAATGCTGTGTACACCCAGTGATATTTCAAGCCCGGGGATTTCCAGTTTAGGCTCTGCAGAGTGGCGGCGTAGGAGCAGTTTACAATGAAAGCAACGATGATAATCATGAAAAGTGCGAAGTAAAATACTTCTTCGAAGTGTATTTGACATGTTTGTGCGCAGAGAGCCCCTTTTGGAAAGAGTCCGACGTTTTCCTGAATTCTCAGAAAAAGTTCCCGGAACTGCAGCACACACATTCTATGTGGATCCTGCCCCGCGGTGTGTTGAAACATTCGCGCTGAGACACATTCAAACACACCTCCTTGAGCGTTTTCTCGATTAGGAAGCCCTTGCTGGATGTTGCACATGATTGCCAACGAAACACCTGACGCATTCGTATGGTCCATGTGCCTCAACAATATTCTACATGCGCACAACAGCTATGTACTCCGTAGCAAGCTGCTGCATTGCGCCGCTGGCAGTTACACCGCTTTTCCGACCAAGGCAAAACGTGACGACCCCTCGATCCTTCAGCACGATCTCCTATAGAGATAATCCTTTGTCCGCCGGAGCACCTCAGAGGTTCGAAACAGCAGTGTAGCTCGCGGCCTTTCTCAGGGCGGCCTTCACACCCGGGATGGCGAGGAGCGCAGAGGTGTTCTGTTGGGGATCGCTCAACCCGATCCCTGGTGAAGAAAATCCAACCCCCGTCGAGGCTGGCCGAAGGGGCCTCGAGGTCGCCCGAGTTTGCGCTGGGTCTGGGCGTGCTCTGCTCGTCGGCGCGAAGAGCGCCACGTGGCTTTCGGGCCAAGATGGGTCCGGCGAGGATCCATGGGATGTGGCGGGGATAGCGTGTGCGGCGTTCGGTCAGAATCACACGTTGTTGCTGCACAAGGTTGCGGCAACAACGGGAGGAGACTGCGCCGACGACGCTGGGAGTGAGACGAAGACGGAAGTTCTCGCATGGGGATCGGGGGGACAGGGTCAGGTGAACGAAATAAATGCATATTGAAGGGACTCGTACAAGAGGGGAGACATGTCACCCATGTCATATTGGGAGTGGTTCGTGTGGTCGTCTCGTAAGCGGCATACAGTCGATCCTTCTTCGGTATCTCTTTCACTTACTGCCAGTGAGCATGCAAATAACTCTTCTCACGACAAGCGGACTCCCTTCAGACCGGTATCCACATGGATCTCACAACAAAATGATCAACATTTTACTTCTTTGTTTGTGTCACGGGTGGGGATGCCACGGATGAGTCCATGGACACGTCCACGCACGTACGTCGGCACGGTCCGTGGACGTCCGTGGCCACGTTCGTTACTGGATGAATATGCCCCAATTTCCCCCATTCCCTCACTTCGGTCGACGACTGAAACCCTCGGTGAAAGCAGAGAACCCCACCGTTAACCTAAATAGTCACCGCCGGCAGAAGGATACAGGGCGCTGTTCGAGGTGGTTAGGGCTGCGTTCTTCAAGGGCAAGGGTTGGGTTGTAGTGTCCACGGCAAGTTGCTCACATGGTCTTGATGCAGATTGGCGTGCTTTCGACAAGGTGCAAATGTACGCTGGTCGTAGTACCGTGTCAGCCGTAGGCTGTGGCCGCGGGACGATTGGAACGTGTCAATGCACCAAGACACTTCGACACCACAAGAATAAGTTGAAGATTCGCATTCCAACGTGTAGGTTGCCAATCTCGCCGACGATTTTCGTCGTACCCAGTCGGGGACACGTTCTACATATCATCCTCAGGAAGAAACGACGTTCACAGAGAGGTCACCTGTGGTCCTGTGAAGTGTCCATGGACTCATCCCCAGACGTGCCAAATGGGCGTCCAAGAAAGGCCGTGAGCACGTCCACAGAATGTCGGACACGCGTTCATAGTACGTAAAAGCAAGAAGACCAATCAATGCAATTACACGGTTCTCCAGCCCGCTGTCAAGTGTCTATCGACATGGCACAACTTTTTCACTCTGTGTTTGTTCGGTTTTCAGCTGGGCATCGGCACCATGACGTTAGAGAGCGAACACCCGAAGGCGGTTGCCGCCCTCAGCACCTATCGCGTGGTACAGGTGGCATGCGGAGCGCAGCACTCCGCAGCCGTCACCTCCTACGGCGACCTCTTCACCTGGGGGCGAGGAACCGAAGGGCAGCTCGGGCACGCAAGTCGACACCTCCCGCCCAAGCTCAACGACGCCATCACCGGGGTACAACTCCGCCCCAAGCCCGTCCCAGCCTTCTTGGCGACGAAGAAGCGCCAGCGCCCGGTAGCGGGGGTGTCCTGCGGGGCGAACTTTACGTTGGTTGTGACCCGTGCGGGTGAGACTTGGGCCTTTGGCGGGGGCGCCATGGGGCAGTTGGGCATCGGACGGGTGACCAGCGTCGGGGTTCCGAAGATGGTGATGCCGTCGTGCCCGGCTACGGGAGGACCGTTTGTCGAGGTCGCTGCGGGGTGGGCGCACGCTCTCGCGAGAACCTCGGGAGGAAGGATATTTTCTTGGGGTTTCAACGCGTTGGGAGCGCTCGGCTTGGGGGACCACCGCACCCGCTTCTTGCCGGAGGCGGTGCCACTAGACGGGTGGCAGCAGCAGCAGCAACAGCAACCGGACGACGAAGGTGGAGGCTGTGGTAGCCATCCATTGAACAAGCCCCCCGCGGCAAAGACAGCAAGTATCACCGCGGTCAAAGTTCACGCCTGCGGAAACTGCTCTGGCGCGCTGTCTGCTGACGGCGAGCTCTTCACTTGGGGATGCGGCAGCGCCGGTGGTTTGGGGCACAGGGGTGAGGGCGAAGGTCAGTATGGTCGGCCAGAGAGAGTGGAGCACGTACTGCGGCCGCGACGAGTGGAGCGATTGGTTGGTGCACGAGTCACAGACTTTGCGCTGTCGAACAAAGGCGGCGTGGCGCTCGTCCCACCTCGTGTGGCATCGATCGAACCGGCCTCGGGACCAATGGAGTACGGATGCAAGGTTGTTATCAAGGGGTACGGATTTTGGTATTCGCCGAATATTGTGGTGAAGTTCACTCCGGTCTCAAAGGGGCACAAGCCGTCGGCGTCGCGATCTGCGGTGGGGACGTACATGCCGCGGGAGACCGGTCAAGGCGGGGTTGAATTTGTGACTTGCACGGCACCGTGCTTTGCGTCCCCGGAGGCAGCGTATGTTGAGGTGGGGAGAATGCCCTGATTGGTAGAAAAACGGATAAGAACCAACAATGCCTCGTTGTAGGGCTCCGTTCGATTGGACGACGGCCACCACTAGGACCGTCGTCGGTATACCAGCACATGCGTTTTAGGCCGTTGGCAATACACACGATGCACGAGAATCACGTAGTAACCTGTCAAAGAGGCAGTCAGGACGCGCGTATATGAGCCCACCCCTCGCGGTATTGCTCAATTTTGTGACCCAAAGAGCCATGTGAGAGCCCGGTTGCAGGAAACCGTACGTTCGTGACGGCTACAATGGGACTTACCCTGATCATGCTCTCGACCCCAGCTCCCCAAAATAATCCAGGAGTTGACATATGCTCGAATTAACTGAAACAGATTTCGATTTCAACGCCATTGTAAGACTACAGTATGGTGACAGAAACTCGTCTTTCCCTCTGGGTGTCCGCGTGGACTCACTCCATTCTACCGTAAACCTCCATTCCATTCTAAGCACGCCCCGACACGCACATTTTATTACTACGTATATCCTGATTTGTATTGTCGTCCAGGTGTCGGTTGATGGAACGTCGTTCACGTCAGATTGCACGAGGTTCCAGTATTATCGAACTCCCGAGCTGACGAAGGTGACCCCCGACACGTTCAGGCCACCATTCCCGAGGCTGAGGGTAGACGGCGAGCATCTCAGACCGAACGAGAACGAAACTCTATTGGTGCGCTTCGAGGAGGAACAGGAAAAAGACATCACCGAAGAGAGGGGCGATGGTGGTGATGATCAAGGGTCTCCGCTGCTTGAAGGCAGCGGCAACAAAAAAACGCGTTCTGCCCTGTCTCGCTCGACCCCGAGGAGGGTATTCGTCGTTCCTGGTCGGGTGGAGTCGGAGGTCATTGAGGTCGGAACAGACCCGGACACGGAGCTCCCGATTCACGAGGAGAGGTGGTTCCTTGCCTGCGGCAGCCCTCCCCTTCCGCCCGAGGCGACCCTCCCATTCGTGTCCCGACTCACGGTGGCTCCGAATGGGGCTGACTTCGACGGAGATTCTCTGCGGTTCATCGCGCACGATCCACACGCCGATGTCTGTCTGCCGTCAGCGGTGCCGGCTCCCGCGCCCCCACTCCCTGCCTCCGACGCCCCCGCCGCGGTGGCCGAGGACGGCGACGGCGACAAAGGCTCGGATGGAGCCGAAGCACGAGGCCCGTGCGTCCGCATCAAGGGCCGCAACCTCTATCGCGGCACTAACGTCGCCGTGCGCCTCCGTTTCGGCCTGGATGACGAGAGCGTCGATCCCTTTCACACGGTCTCGTTCGACGCCTCTTCCGAGAGCATCGTCGGCGTCGTGCCGATCGAGGCCGGGGAGCTCGTGGCCGGGGCGCCGGGGGCGCCGCCTTCAAAGGAAGCCCAGCAGCGCCCGCCGGCCGTCAGCGTGGTGGTGGAAGTCAGCGTGGACGGCGTGGAGTTCTTCGCCGTGCCGGAGCGGCTTACGCTGTACCGAGGTCCGCAGCTGGCTCTCCACGGTGACGGCTTGTACCCTGCGGCCGAGGGGGGGTTGGCCGAGCTCAAGACGACGGCGCCGTCTTTCCGCGGGAACCAGGCGAAGGTAGGTAGGGTCATGAAGGAACGCCATGCGGGCACCGCGCCCTGCGTTCAGGAGTGAGGGAGACATGCGTTGCCAGCACGAGGGAACGATCGTTGAAAGGAACGCACCGCGTGCTCATGCACAAAATCAGTTTCAGAAATCCACGCGCGCCCCGCCTCCCCACCCCTCCCTGTCTTCCCATGTCTCCCTGCGACCTCTCCTCGGTGCGTGAACACGGGCCCTGATCCTAATGACTGCTGTGGCGACCACCAGGTCCGATTGGTTTCCGATGTCCACGGCATAGACGTGACGCTGCCTCTGCTCTCGTCTCCGCCCGCCGAGGAAGTCGAGGAGGGTACCGGAGAAGCTTCTGGCGTACCGGGCGGGGAGGCGGGGGGGGCTACGCCGGCACCAGGGCAACCGTCACCGGCCACCGACGAAAACGAAGGGAAATCCACGCCCGTGCAAGAACCAGCGAAGGATGCCACGGTGCAAGGAGAAGAGCAGCGATCGGGCGAAGTTGCCAGCACAGAGGCGTCCGATAACAGTTTTTGGGAGGAGAGAGAGGTGCCGACGTCCGAAGAATCCTTCTTTTTTGCTGTGCCTCCGCTACCCAAGCCGGTGAGGCGCGACGTATACAGGGCCGTTCGTTGCTTGAGTTAGTATTTTTCGTCGCACCGGCGGGGGGGGGGGGGGC